CGCAGCCTCCGCCGCGTGCAGCGCAGCCCAGGGTCTGGAGCAGAGGAGTTGTTTGGTTACGGCAGCTGCTCTCAATTCCTCAGAAAGGGGAACCCGCCCTCCCTCGTCAACAGCTCGTGTGCTGGGGGAGGCGGGAGGGATGCTGGGGGTCACAGCAGTGCAAACAAAGCTGCGGTGAGGTGGAGAGCAAAGGCTTTAAACGCATGAGATGGGGTGGGGGAGGAAAAAATACCAAGAAGAGCAAACAAGCCCCAGCCCTTGGGCGTTGCTCTTGGGCTGGGTGAGCTCCCTGTCCCCCCCTCGCCAGCAAGAGCAACTCCAACACCAGCAGCTCCAAAGCCCATCGCGCTGGGACGCGGCAGGCTGCGTCCTGCGGGACGTGGCACGGGGGGGTCGTCGGGAGACCTCACTCATTGCTGTGGTTCAGTCACCGTCGGCGTTTTACCCGATCAGCGCTTCCTTCGTTAATGCTTTGGTTTTGGTAGAGTTGGCCCGTCGCAGGAGTAGGACTGCTGCGTGGTTGGGGATTTCCTCTTGATCGAGGGTTTTGTAACATTATCTGATACTATCGAGTCTCCCCGACTAAATATAGTGTAGTGTTTCCTAAAACACCTTTCTGTAAACTTGGAGCTGCTTGTTTCACCCCTCAGCCGTGCTGTTCAAGAGGCCTGGAAGGCCCTGCCTGCCGGCCCCCTTGCCATCTCTCTTCCTGGCGTGTGTGGGCACCCCTCCGATTTTCGGAGGGCTCTTTCCTCTGCCTCTTGCTCTGTGCAGCTCCGACCCTGCCTCCCCTCCCAGCCCGGCACAGGCACTGCGGGAACGCCAGCTGCCATCCCCCCCCAGCCGGAGGATGAGGTGTCTGGAGGAGGGCCCAGTGCCGGCTCCCGGGGCTGGGGAGCGCTGCGCTCCCCTCCCCAGCTGGCGAGGCGGGGTAGCTGGACCCCGCGCCGGGTCGCTGTGACCAGCTCCACGGCCACAGACACGTGCTTGAGCAACGGCTGCTGCCAGCGCGGCTCCCTGGGCACTGCGGGTTTCCCTCCAGCATCCGCCCCATGCACCTCCCTGCTGGGAGCACAGGAAATAGCTCATCCCCGCTCTCGGGGTAAACATCTTTCCCAAGAGCGAAACTGCCCGGCTGGGACGAGTGCCCAGCTGTAATTTACCCTCTGCCTGAGCGTTGGGCCATGCCCTCCCACGCTCCACCCGGCCCGACCCTCGCTCTGATCCGAGGGCAATCCTAGCTTCGTTCCCGGGCCACGGACTGGTCCCGAGCCCAGCAGCGTTGAGGGCCGTGCTCGCAGGCTCACGGGCCCAGCTTTGT